TTTTAAGTTTTAAGGAAAACACTAAGGGGCTGAAATAGAGTGTGGAGGATGGTCAATCTCTCAGAAAAAAAATGACTTTTAGAACGAGATACCAAAGGAGGAGGAAAGGGGCAGGCAGCAGAACAGAGGACTGGGGGATGTGAAAGGCACTGGGAGTGACCTTCATAGAGACCTGTGCAGGAAGAGGGGTGTGGGGTTGGGGAACCAGAAGCTGAGAGAACAGGGGAAAGGCTTGGACTGTTTGCTCAGGCTGTGGAGATTGTGTGTGTGTGTGTGTGTATTTAAAGACACAGTCTCACTTTGTAGCCCTGGTTGGACTGGAGTGTTCTATGTAGAAAGGCTGGCTCTATACCAATCACAGACATCCACCTGGCTCTGCCTCCTGAGTGCTAGGATTAAAGGTGTATGCCACCACACTGATAGCAAGGTGGTATTTTTATTTTATTTTATTTTATTTTATTTATTTATTTATTTATTTATTTATTTATTTATTTATTTTTTGGTTTTTCGAGACAGGGTTTCTCTGTGTAGTCCTGGCTGTCCTGGAACTCACTCTGTAGACCAGGCTAGACTCGAACTCTCAAACTCAGAAATCCACCTGCCTCTGCCTCCCAAGTGCTGGGATTAAAGGTGTGTGCCACCACCACCCGGCTAAGGTGGTATTTTTTAAATGTGGCATCAAAAGTTGGGCGTGGTGCCACAAGTCTTAGCACTGGGGAGATGGAGGCAGGATTAGGTGTTCAAGATCATCCCCAACTTAGCTTTTTTTTTTTTTCCTCTTGGAGAACAGATGACAGGCCTGACTTCTGAATACATTTGTCTGTGTGTGAGTATATGCTGTGTACATAGGCCTGAAAAGGATGTTGGATCCCCTTGGAGCTGGAGTTACAGGCTCTGTGTGTGCGCTGCTGGACATGGGTAGTTAGAACTGAACTCAGGTCCTCTGGAAGAGCAGCAAGCACTCTAAGCCACTGAAGCATCTCTTCAGCCTCCAGGAGTCAGAATTTTATCTTCAGACCCAGCTGAGCCTAGTCTCAGGGCTTCTCATGTGTGAATGAAGAAGTTCCCAGTTGGCTCCATCCCCCTCAGCTGTTCAGAGATAACACTTCCCCAGCCTTTCCAGTCTTCCCAGCTGAGGCCCAGGAGGCATGAAGTAGAAACCAGCCATCTCGGCTGCATTCCAATTAATCACTTACCCAGAAAATTAAGAGACAGCGAAATGGTCATTGTTTTATGCCATTTGGTGAGGAAGTTGTTCTGTGAAATGCTCCCTAAAACCTCCATCTGATTGACACCCAGTTTCCAGGATTCCAAATGTTTTCCTCAGTCCTGTCCCTGTTAGCCCCTTCTTGCCACAGCCTTGGTTCAGCCCTTCTCTGCTCACCACCTCCCTGCCTGCTCCCAGCATTCAGGTCTCTGTCTCTCCTGTTTTAGCCAGGACAATTCACTAAGACCTAATGTCATCTGGTGACATCATTTCTCTACTTCAAAGGCCTTTTTATTGGTCGTGCAATTCAATTAGAGCTTATTAGGTTGTACGTAGCCCTCTAGAATCGGCTCCTGGGCTACCTCAAATGTTATCTCCCATTGAAGTCTCTTATTTTCCCTTCAATCAGGTCTCTGGACATGAGGCTCTTTATGGTCCAGGCCTTCCTGCTGCTTGCTCTCCCTAATAGCTGGAAGCTGAAAAATTTCCACTTGTCTGTGTAGATTTCCTTCCTTTCCTTCATATCCGATGGCGGAGCTTTCCTGAGCTCAGTCAGAGGCTTTTGTCAATCTTCTGTTTTCTGTGTGTTCACCCGATTGGCAGGAAATTGGAGGCAAGGCAGAAGTGAGGTGTGGTGCCCATCCCAGCTCTCCTTTTCTGTGGGGAGACGACAGCTTTTGTGGGAATTCTCCTATGATGGGCGCCCTTTCCCTGGGCATGGGCAGCCATTCCTGCTTTTGCCCCTTAGGGGGTCTCAGTAACCCATTCTGATCCCATTTTCCTGTGAGTAGTCTCTCTCCAATAACCCTCCCTCCATCTGTTTCCAGCCCGTACTAACATTCTCAGTCACCTTCCAGGCTTCAGCCTAGACTCTCCTCCTCTGTCTCCTTCTTTCTTAACTAGTTCTACTAGGACCCTGAGCAGATGTTGACTTCCAGTGTCATAGCTCTCAATGTCTTGTTTTATCGGCAGTGGAAACATGTATCGAGGAGGCCTGAGGCCCCTTCAATGATGCCCAGCACTTACTAGGTCTGAGTCAATGTCTGTTGGATTTATGATGGTTGACCATAGAGAAAGGACTCCAGAGAGGGCCACAGGAGCTATAGACCAGTGAGTCTTTTATTCTGGCCACAAGACAAGGACATGACATGCTTTCTCATAGCCAAGAACCTTCAAGACAATTGTCACATTGTTAAGAAAAGTGTAATTTCCTCTACGTGTTCAAAGGTTCTATTGTATTTACTGATGATATTCTCACAGAATGTTTTCTTAAAATGTTAACTATGAAAATGTTTATATGTATACAGTCTTCAAGAGACTGGAGTGTTGGATTAGTTTCTTTGCCGCTACAGCCTTTATTTTTTGTTATTTTTGTAGGACTGGGAATGGAACACAGGATCTCCTGTGTGCTAAGCAGGCAGCCTGCTGCATTCCATGTTCCTCCTCCTTCATTTTAAAAGTCCAGTTTATTGAGGTGCAGTTTACATACATAAAGCTCACTCTCTTGAGGCACGCAGTTATGAGAACAAGCAAACAGAAGGTTTTCATTGCCCCACTAAGTTTCCTCCTTATCTTTCTTAGTCTACCCTTCCCACTTCTAGCTCAGAGCAACTGCTGGCTTGTTTTCTGTTCCCACGGCTCCACTGTTTCCAGAATGTCCATAAATGATAATACAGTATATTATAGCCAGGAAGGGCAGCCCACAAGTGTAATCTAAACACTCAGGAGGTGGAAGCGGGAAGGTCAGAAATTCAAGGCTGGTCTCAGGTACATAAAGAGTTCCAGGCCAGCCTGAGCTACACAAGATCCTGCCTCCAAATAAGCAAAGAAACAAGAATACTTTACATTCAGTTGGTACCTGATCCCACTAACCAACTAAGCTAGAGGCAGATTAATTTCTATTATCTCAGGACAAGCTGAAGATTGGAATTTGATAGCATGATTGGGAGTCTCTTGAGAAGCCCACAGGTCAGTGGCATTGGTGCCAAGTGCTGGTCCACAGAACATCTTGTGGAAGAGTCTCAGGTGTTATTAGTTTGCTTGAGACAGGATCTCGCTGTGTAGCTCTGATGACCTGGAACCAGCTATGTAGAACAGGCTGGCTTTGAGACCCACCTTCCTCTCCCTCTTGTGTGCTGGGTCTAAAGGCCTGTGTTAGCATACCTGGCTAGGTGGTATGTTTTTTTTTTTAACTGAATAAAGAAACCATTCATTATCTCAGAGTGATAAGAAAAGCCCTGGGGCACACCCAGAATTTTGTAGGGACACCATACTCTTGGAGAAAAGCTAGAACTACCCAATGCTGTGGCTTGTTCTGTGCGGTGGTGACTCCATGCCCTCTCTCTCTACCTCTGCACCTGTTCCAGCTGCCTTGATGGAGTATACTCCTTATTTTACAACTCCAGGATTCCCTTGTTTTGAACTATCCAGGATTCTCAGAAACTTCTAGACACAGTAACATGATTGTGTGTGTGGTGCGGGACATAGCCCTGGCAGTGCTATGTAATATATATATATATATATATATATATGTATATATATGTATATATATGTATATATATATACATATATATACACACACACACACATATATATGTCTGTGTGTGTGTCCTGTCTTGCTATGTAATATATATACATACATATACATATACATATACATATATATATATATATATATATATATATATACACATCCTGGCTTGTTATATATATATAGTTATATAATATATATAGTTATGTAAGATATATATATATATATATATGTATATATATTCATAAATAGATACCAGATCATATTGGATTTTGCCAATGCTGTCCTCAAACTCACTATTCACCAAGGATGACAGTGGGCTGTCCCTCCTGCCTTCACCTTCTGAGTGCTGAGATCTCAGGTGTATGCCAGCTATTTTATTATGTAGCCAGCTAGCTAGTATTCTCAATTTAATAATTAGAGTGCTTCCCGAACACAGAAGAAGCCCTTGGTTTGATCGGCAGCACCTCATAATATCAAGGGTGATCACACAACCTGTGACCTCAGCACTTTGGAAATGGATTAAAAAATTTCATAACCAGTAACAGTGAGTTCGAGGCCAGCCTACGATAAACCCCTCATAAAGCAAACACACTGTACTAGGCTATACCGTGGGTAACTCCTTTCTTCTGAAACCAGGCTCTGTGATGTGTATACCAGGTCCTCTGTACTTCAGAGTTCTCAGGGAAGGCAGCGAGCTAGGTAGAGGTCAAGACCCGAGGGATTTTTTCACTGTTGAGCTGCCTTCCTGGAACAGGGACACTGGGTCAACCCATCCTTCCACACACACAAGGGCCAAACCTTTTAAGGGTTAGAATAACTGCAAGGGTAGACACATGGATGTGATAGGTCAGAAAGAGATGCAAACAAACAGGAAGGAAGGAAGGAAGGAAGGAATGAAGGAAGGAAGGAAGGAGGGAGGGGAAAAAGGAAAGAAAAAGCAAGCAAGCAAGCAAACAAACAAGCTCAGATAGCAGCAATAATAGGAAAGCATGAACATCAGATAGAGAGGACTGGAGGAGAAACTGCGGGTCGGAGCAGGAATGAAGAATGAAGGTGGACGCACAAGGTGAGATACCAGGAGGGTTTCAGTCTTGCGGACTGGGTGGCAGGAGCGGGAGATGGAGCGGGGGCAACACTCGGTTGCAGAAAGAAGACCAGGAATTGTGTTCCACTAAGGACCTCTTCTTGGAGGCCTGATCGGCAGGTGCAGAGGCGGGGCCTCGTAGGGGCGGATCTAAAGGCGGGGCCACACAGGGGGTGGGGCCGACGCCGGCGGCGGGCGGGGTTCGCAGCTCCTCTCCCCTGAGAGCAGCCGGGGCTGCCGAGCTGGAGCTGGAGCCACAGCCGGAGCCCGCGGCAGAGTCGGAATCCGGGGTCGGGCCGGAGCGGGCTCCATCGACATGGGGTCCGCAGACTCCAAGCTAAACTTCCGGAAGGCGGTGATCCAGCTGACCACCAAGACTCAGGTGCGCCTGGGGACCCAGCGTCTTCATCCACCTGCCTGCCTGGGGGGCAGGGCAGGGCCGGGGGCTGGGTGAACATTGCTCGCCCGAGGGTGGGGTGACCGGCTAGTCCAGAGGGGGATGCTGAGACCAGCACCGGAACGGGACCTTTCCTTTGTAACTAGGGCTCCATCCTTGCCCCTGGGAGCCCACCCTATGCCTACTCTCCCCTGGGAACACTCTCCCGGGCACTGCTGCTGCCACCTTAGGCTGACGTGTGCCTACTCCTGGAGCCGGCGGCGACAACGTTATCCGCCCCCTGTCCCGCCCCCCAGTGCCTGCAGCCTCGCTTAGCCAGCCTCTTCCCGCTCCCACCTACCCATCCATCGCCCCGCTCTTCTCCCGGCCCCTCAATGCCCACGGTCCCGGACACACAGCCCCGGCTGACTCAATGCAAACAAAGCCGGGCCGGCGCCTGCCTGGGTCGGGGAAAACAGCTGGTGCGCGGTGGCAACGGTGGCGTCTCTGGGCCCTAGTTGATGCCTGAGGGCAGGGAAGGCCCAGGTCTTCCTGGGAGCTCACAGAGTGGCAGGCAGCGGCAGCTGGGTAAGAGGAGCTGTCCACAGGCCTAGGGAAGCCACTTTCCAGCTTGTGATGATCCAGGGGCTTCTCCAGGTCCGGTGGAGCTGATTGGCTGTGTTTTTTGGCACCCGGAATGGGGATTCAGGGGCTCGGGGATGAGGAGATTATCATTGGTCTGTTGGAGAGGAAGCCATGGGTGACTACAGTCCAGTCCACACTCTCACATTTCCTCCCGAGTCTACAAGTGTCACAGAAGCCACCTCCTATCTCCAACACACACCTCTTGATCCAGCAAGGTTCCTTCCCTGTCCTCCTTTCAATCCTTATTGCTGGATCCAAGCTACTATGGTTAAGGAGATGCCCAGCCATGCCTCTCCGAGGCCCTGTCAAAGGGTTCTGGACCTACTGCCATCTGGAACCCCACCCCCATCCTGCTGTTCTCAGAGCTCTATATTGTTCTTGGCCAGTGTGAGTGGGATCAGGAGAGCTGTCTTCCCACAACCAGCCAGTCACAGCCTCAAAGGCAGACCACTACTCCCACACCCTGTTACCCACCTCGGAAAGGTCAGAGGCTGAGGAAAGGAATGCCAGGACTTCTAGAGAGCCCATTTCTATCTGAGAGGCACTTGGTGAAAACCAGAACTGCTTCTCTTTGCTTTCCATGGCTTGTTCCAGAACCTCAGAAGTGGGACTCTCAGTCTATGGGTAGTAGAAAAGGGTGGTGTGTGTGGTATTTTGCACAGTGTAGGCTGGTGGAGGGAGTGGGGAGTCTCCCATGTTTGCCTGCCTGGGAAGGGGCTGGCTTGTTGAAAGATGGTTCAGTGGGCTCAGCAGATTCTTTGGGAGCAGAATGAACCCAACCAGATCTAGAAAGGTGGGCAGTGACCTGCTTAGGGACCTTCCCCCCTGAATACGTAAGTAAGTTTGTACCTGGTTGAGATAGTCTGTTCTCAGCTGAAGAAAAGCAGTTGCTCGGGTTAGGGCCTAGAGTAGACTGGAGATCTAGTGTGGGCTACTCCCCTTCCTCCTCTCCCCATCTTCCTCTCCCTCCTCCCCCTTCTCCTATCCCTCCTCTTCCTCCTTTCCCATCTGCCTCCTCCTTCTTTTCAATTTATATTATTATTATTTTTGATGTGTGTGTATGTGTGTGTTCACATGTGTACCACGGTACATGTGTGGCGGTCAGAGGACAACTGTGGAAGTCAGTTTTCCTTTTCTACCATGTGGACCCTAGGGATGGAACTTAGGTTCAGTAGGCTTGGCAGCAAGCAGCAATTATGTTTGCCAAGCATTTTTACCAGGTGCCTTTACTGCTGAGCCATCTCACTAGCCTGTGGGCTTTCTTATAAGCATGGGACTCTCACAGGTAGGTGGGGCTACAGCCTTGGATTCTGTAGTGATCAGCTTGGAGCAGCTAAGGTTCAAGAACCTGGTCTGAAAAGGTCTTCCTGGACCTTAGAACTCCGTGTCCCCAAGGGGCTGCAGATGTGATGACCACAGGATGACCTCATGTCTAAGCCCTCAGAGGCTGTTCCCTGGGCAGTAGTTACAAGCGGACCACCTTCTCGTAGCCTGGGCCTGAGCTCTTACGGGTCAGCCTTCCCTGCCTTCCTGCCCTGCATCCTGTTTTCTTCCTGCCCTATTGACCAGCTCTGGGCAGGGCTTAACCCTAACTCTGAGGCCACTCTCGACGCTTTCCTCACTTGGCTGGGGCCCCAGAGACTCTCCCCCAGATCCTGCTTATTTGAGGATGCTCTGCTGCAGGCTAGGGTGAGAGCTGAGAGGTGTGTGTTCCCATGCATGCACATGTGTGCCTAGAATAATACTTGGATCACCTGTCAGGACATATCATTCTTGTTGGGCTAGCTGAATGCTGGTTTTACCCCTTACCACTCCCACCCTACAAGGAGACTGTTAAAGCCAGGCTTGGGGCTGGAGGGATGTGTCAGTGGTTAAGAGGTCCCGCTACTCTTTTGGCTGAAGAGTTTGGTTCACGGCACCCACATTGGGTGGCTCACAACTACCTGTGACACCAGCTCTGGGGGATCTAACACCTTCTAGCCTCTAGGGGCACCCTCATATATGTGTACACACAGAGAGAGAAACATACACATAAATAAAAAATAAAATAAAAAAAAATTAAAGCTACAGCTGCTCCCTCAGTCAACGCAAATGCCTAAGGCCCAGTGGGATCAGGAGAGGAAGTGCGAGCTGAGGCTAGCAATCTTGAGGTCCTATATTCAGTCTCCATAATGAGAGAGAGTGCAGACTAGCCCTGGCTACATGAAAAAGGTGGGGGTAGGTAGAAAGATAAATGCTTGTTTATGAAGGGATTTTCCTCCTCTGCTTCTAGGTTAGACCTAGGTGAAGGTCCCTCTTAAGTCTCACTTGGATTTCAGTCCTGAGGTGATACTTGTCTAACAAACTGGGTCAGTGGTCAGCTCCATTTGTATTCAGCCCCTTTGCTTCTGCCCCTTTAAGGGATGCTGAGTACCTGGGAGGTGAGCTGAGTATTACAGGTAGCAGATTTCCAGAGGTGCTCCCAATGAGGGGAGCTCCACAGGCCTTTCCTCTGAGATGTCCTTTCCCACTGCACTCTGGCTCCAGGCCACCAGAACTGGGGTCTCTTGATCCCTTCCTCCACTCCAGTGTGTATCAGATGGCCGGTGAAGCTGAGGTCCAGCAAACCCCAGCTCCAGGGCCTCTCCTTTGGCCTTTGTTTACCTTCGGCTAACTTGCTCTACCAGTTCTGGGAGTGAGGGTGCAGCCAAAAGTTACCCTGGGGCTCCCCAGAATGGAGTGGAGGGTGGGCACTTTAGTGAAGCCTGCAGCCCCAGCCTTGAGTTTGGGTAGCCCCCTGGCACTCTGCCTTGTCAGGAGTCAGCTTCAGCACCTCAGCTTCATCTGCCTCAACTTTGAGTGCAGGGGCAATGCTGGGCTGCTGGGCTGCTGGGCTGCTGGGCTGCTGGGCTGAGGAGAGTGGCTCTAGACCTCAGTCAAGAATGTGGGGTGTAGAAGTTGAGGCTGGAGGTTCCCAGGCGGGAGCATGGGAGCATGTCTGTGCAGCTAATGAAACACCATGACCAAAGCAACTTGGGGGTCAGGGACTCAAGCAGGGCCAGAACCTGGAGGCAGGAGCTGATGCAGAGGTCTTGGAGGGGTGCTGCTTACTGGCTTGCTCTCTATGGCTGCTCAGTCTGATTTCTTACAGAACCCAGGACCACCAGCCCAGGGATGGCGCCACCCACAATGGGCGGGGCCCTTCCCCAACAATCACTAATTAAGACAACGCCTTACAGCTGGATCTTATGGAGGCATTTTATTTATTTATTTATTGTCTTTTTTGACAGGGTTTCTCTGTGTAGCCCTGGCTATCCTGGAACTCACTATGTAGACCAGGCTAGCCTCAAACTCAGAAATCTGCCTGCCTCTGCCTCCCAAGTGCTGGGATTAAAGGTGTGCGCCACCACTGCCCGGCTGGAGGCATTTTCTTAATTGAGGTTCCCTCTTCTCAAATGACCCCACCCTGCATCAAATCGACATCAAACTGTTCATCCCAGGGAAGAATTCTAGGGGTGAAATTTATCATGGAAACTGGTTGCCTTGCTCATTTACCTGTATGACTGTCTATGATTCAGAGACCATAAGTTCTATATTTAAAAAGTTCATTTTTATTTATGTGCATTTCTTTGTGTGTATGCCACAAGTGGGCATGTGCCTATGGAGGCCAGAAGTGGGTGTCGGATCCCTGGAGTTTCAGGGAACCAAACTGAGTCCTGAGTCCCCTGGAAGATCAGCGTACACTCCTAACCTCTGAACCATCTCTCTAGCCCCCAGGAGCACATGTAGTTTTAAAGCTTGTCTCAATAGGACCTTCAGAATTTGTTTATTACCTTAGTTTGTGTGTTTTGAGACAGGCATTTATTGTGTAGCCCTGGCTGTCCTGAAACTCATTCTGTAGACCAGACTGGTCTCAAACTCACAGAGATCTGCCTGCCTCTGCCTCCCTGGTGCTGGGATTAAAGGTGTGTGCCACTACACCCAGCCTGTTAAAATTAAGAAAATAAGGAGCTGGAGAGATGGCTCAGGGGTTAAGAGCATTGGTTGCTCTTCCAGAGGTCATGAGTTCAACTCCCAGCAACCACATGGTGGCTCACAACCATCTGTAATGGGGTCTAATGCCCTCTTCACATAAAATAAATAAATAAATAAATTTCTTTAAAAGTCTTTAAAAAATAAAAAAACCATCTGTGTGTATATATTTGAGGAAGGTCAAAGTCACACACGTGGACAGTTTGTGGGAGCTGGCTCACCCCTTTCGATAAGTAGACTCTGAGTTCCTCAGGCCACCAAGCTTAGGGGCAGCCCCTTTACCAGCTGAGCCATGTCGCAAGCCCCAAACCTTTAGGACTTTGTAATTATTGCTGAAATGAAAAGAGCCTACTGGGAAATGAGGACAGCCTGAGCAAAACAAAAGAAATTTACCATGGTCATGTCTAGGGGCAGTAAATACAGGAGTGTGTGTGTGTGTGTGTGTGTGTGTGTGTGTTTTGTTATGAGGTCTGTTGAATCCCGGGCTGTCCTTGAACTCACTCACTATGTAGTTGCAGATGACCTTGTACTTCTGATCTTCCCAAGTGCTGGGGTCATAGTCCCTTACCTCCAATCTTAATGTTCACACTGCTCGAGATCCACTCCAGGGCTTTGTGCGTGCTACACAAGCACCCTATCAACTGGACTGCATCCCAGCCTCAAGGCATATTTAAGATCTTTGGTGAATGTTGAGCTGATGTGTTGACTTGATCCAGCAGGCAGTGGGGAGCCCCTGAAGCTTTTAGGTCAAGGCATGGGGAGGAGGAACTAAGGTGGGGGGGGTGGTCCATTTGGAGGTTGAAGCTCCCAGAAAGTGACTGGAGCTGCAGCATGGGCCAGCAGGGGGCGCTAGGAGGAGCGTGTGGGGGCCGGTGGGTCTGGCACTGGTGGATGAGCTGAGAAAGAGTTGCTAGTGAGAAGACGGCACAGGTGACTGTAAGTGGGGTGCATATGGCCTTTGGGGAGAGCTCCTAGACACTTGACCTACTGGTGAGGCCATGGGATGTGACCTGGTGAGGGTGTCAGCTTCTCTTTCAGAGGAGGATGGGGACCTAGCCAGAGACACACAAACCCTCGGCGACACGGTGGGCTTTAGAATCTAGCGGATCGTTGCCCATGCACACCTATCTTGTGGCAGCTGGTTAAGGCTCTTCGTCCAGATGGGGAGGTTCCTGGATGCTGGCTGGGATGGTGGATAGCCGCTATGGCCTCTCTGCCAGGGCTCACTGTGAATACTGGATTCCCCTGTAGCCCGTGGAAGCCACCGACAATGCTTTTTGGGACCAGTTCTGGGCAGACACAGCTACCTCGGTGCAGGATGTCTTTGCGCTGGTGCCGGCAGCCGAGATCCGGGCTGTGCGAGAGGAGTCACCCTCTAACTTGGCCACCCTATGCTACAAGGTATGAGCTGTCTGGTCCCTCACTGCTGTCCCACCCTTCCCAGAGTGGCCTAGTCCACAGTAGGACAGGCTGCTTATTTGAAGTATCCCATCTACAGATCCTGGAGGACCAACCTCTTCACCTCCAGTTCTCCTTGTTGGGGGTGAGGGATAAGTAACCATGGCGGCAGCCGCCGTTTACGAGAGCTTTGGTCTATCTTTCCAACCTCGCTTTGCTTTTCCATGAGGTGCTCCAGCATCCAAATAGAGCTTTCTCTATTATAAACGAGGTCTTTAACTTTTTTTTAAAGGTTTATTTATTTTATGTGTATGAATGTTTTGCCTACATGCATCTATATGTTCCGTGTACATCCCTGGTGCCTGTGGAGAGCAAAAGAAGGTATTGGATCCCCCGGAACTAGACTAATGGATGGTTGTGAGACACCATGTAGGTGCTGGGAACGGAACCCTGGGTCCTCAGCAAGGATAATACGTTGGTTTTTATTGTCGTTGTTTTGGTTTCTTTATTTTGTTGAGACCCTGGATGCCCTAGTTCTTACTATTTAGACCAGGCTGGCCTTGAACTCATAGAGATCCACCTGTCTCTGGCTTCTGAGTGCTGGGAGTATATATGTGGGCCACCAAATGCGGTTAGACAGTGTATTCTTTTTTTTTTTTTTTTAAGATTTATTTATTTTATTTATGAGCACACTGTAGCTGTCTTCAGACACACCAGAAGAGGGCATCAGATCTCATTATGGGTGGTTGTGAGCCACCATGTGGTTGCTGGGATTTGAACTCAGGACCTCCGGAAGAGCAGTCAGTGCTCTTAACCGCTGAGCCATCTCTCCAACCCAGACAGTATATTCTTAACAGCAGAGCCACCCTTCCAGCCCCCGCCCCTCCCTTTAACCTTTAAAAAGGATACTTTTATATAGGGTTAAACAAAAGGGTTAGGAGAGAAAGAAGCTCTCAGAAGAAAATAAGTTGTACCCAAGTGTGGGTACACACTCCTTGAGAGAGGGGTACCACAGATGAGGTCTTGGCCATCCAGTGGACTGGACGCTGCTCTCCTGATGCTCTGGGCTATTTTTTCCCAGGTCACAACCTCCCTGATCGAGCTAGCTGACCTCTGCGGCCTGGGTGGCCTGAACCCAAAGGGCTTCTTCACATACTCCTCCCTTGCTGTCTGTCCCCACAGGCTGTGGAGAAGCTGGTGCAAGGAGCGGAGAGTGGCTGCCACTCTGAGAAGGAGAAACAGGTCGTCCTGAACTGCAGCCGGCTACTCACCCGAGTGCTACCTTACATCTTCGAGGACCCCGACTGGAGGGGGTTCTTCTGGTCCACAGTGCCCGGGGCAGGGCGTGGAGGGGTCTGTGGGCCTGCCCAGGGGTGGGTGTGGGGTGGGAGAACCCTGGCAGGGCCACCTGTATTTAGGAAGTATGGGGATGGGGACTAGGGGTAGGGTGCCCTTGAGAGGGAAGGAGCTAGTACCAACTTTTCAGGCCCTCGGTTTCCCTCCCAAGGGGCCTCTGCCTCATACAGCCTGGAGCAGGGGTACAGGGATAGGGCCCACAACTATGTCTTTAGAAGGACCATACTATCTTCTCCCAGACCCCATCTGCTCTGGGCTTATCTTCAGTCAAGTGCCAAGGGTTGAGTCCTCACAATTCCCAAGATGCCCAGCACACCTGGCAGGACATTTTCTCATTGTTCCCAGTGTTTGCCTCTGCCCTGCCATCTTCTGGCTAAGAGAGGTTTGGGGTGAGCCGGAAGTCACTTCCTCTTTCCTCTTTCTCTTCCTCCCTCCCTCTGTCTACGCGTGCCTGCTGAGACCCTGTCCCATATCCACGCCACTCCCAAGCCCTGGGGCCACTTCTCCTTGGCCAGCCCCCCTGAGCGTCCTGCGTCTTTAGCAGGGTGAGGAAGAGGATGAGAACGCTCGTCCCTTGGCAGAGTCCTTGCTCCTGGCCATTGCTGACTTGCTCTTCTGCCCAGACTTCACTGTGCAGAACCACCGGAGGAATGACGTGGTGAGACACCCAGGCTGGGCTCTGATCCTGCTGGGGCCAGCATTTAAGGTTCCCCTGGGCGCAGGGCGCAGGGCAGTTCAGAGGGCAGGCCTCCTAGGCATACGTCTCCTGGGTGGGATAGGGGGTTGTACTGTTGGAGAGGAGCCAGTTGGTGTCCAGCCTGCCTCTGTCTCCTAGGCAGCAGCACACAAGCACCCATTGTCTTCTCTGCCTGAGGTGGGAGGGGTGCAGGGCTGGAACCAGGAAGCCTGCCTTTTTACTCAGGAACTCCACCAGGGGAATACTTTCTCCCCTCAGCCTGCCACACCCCCACCCCCTAACCTTCTCTCTTCCCTCTCCCCGCCTCAAACTGGGCTCAGCAAGTAAAATAATCAATGCAAGGCTGCAGGAAAACGAGCCTTTAAAGAACTCCAGCAGAACCCGTTTCTCTCCTCGTCCAAGAATGGCAAGGGAGGGCTGACTTTAGGAGGATGCTGGGCTACATTGTTGCAACTAGAGACAACAGGGGGGAGCTTGAGGAGTCAGGGCCCGCCTCCCTGCTATTTGTCTTGTGACCCCCCTCTTCTCTGTAACCACTCCCTGTTTCTAGGACTCAGCGGAAGATGTCCATTCCCTGGACAGCTGTGAATATATCTGGGAGGCTGGTGTGGGCTTTGCCCATCCCCCCCAGCCCAACTATATCCATGACATGAACCGGTGAGCTGGACGGGCTGCCCTTTGCTTAGCTCAGAGACCCACAGGGTCTGCCAAGAAAACCCAGCCCTCTTACAATCCCTCCTCGGCCTTATAGGGAGGAACAGGGGTCTTTTTTTCCCATGGACCTTTGCCAGTGAGGTGGGCTGATTTGGCAGTGCCTTCTAGAGGGAGACAGGGTTCTAATGTAGCCTTTCCTGTCCCTCCTGCAGGATGGAGCTACTGAAGCTGCTGCTGACATGCTTCTCAGAGGCCATGTACCTGCCCCCATCTCCAGAAAGTGGCAGCACCAACCCCTGGGTTCAGTTCTTTTGTTCCACAGAGAACAGGTGAGAGGCAGCTGGCCTTTCTAGTCTTGTGCTAGGAACCTAGTGCCAACCCTGATGGTTTTATTTGAGGAAACGTGCTGCCCTCTGGTGTCGTGAAACTATAACAGCCATACACTTAATTTTTTTTTTTAATTTTTATTTTATGCACACTGGTGTTTTGACTGCACGTATGTCTGTGTGAGGGTGTCTGATCCTCTGGAACAGGAGTTACAGACAGTTGTGATCTGTCATATGGGTGCCGATAATTGAACCTAGGTCTTCTTAGCCTTACTAACAAGGCTCCAAACCTCCTGGGGGCTCCTGGGCCCAGATTCATGTCTTCCGTCTAGAGCTGCATTTGTTTAGTAGAAATATAATATGAGGGGTTGAAGTATAGCCCTGGGTGTGTAGTAGTGTAGTAGTGGTAGTGTGTGTGTGTGTGTGTGTGTGTGTGTGTAGTGCTTGTCTAGCATGCATGGAGCCCTGGGTGAACTGAGTGTGGCGGTGTACAGCTGCAATCCCAGCACTCTGGAGGTGGAGGCAGAAGAATCAAGAAGTTTAGGGCCGCCGGGCAGTGGTTGCGCACGCCTTTAATCCCAGCACTTGGGAGGCAGAGGCAGGCGGATTTCTGAGTTCGAGGCCAACCTGGTCTACCGAGTGAGTTCCAGGACAGCCAGGGCTACACAGAGAAACCCTGTCTCGAACCCCCGCCCCCCAAAAAAAGAAGTTTAGGGCCATCCTTGGCTACTAGTGCATTCTGGGCTAGCCTGTGGTACATAAGATCCTGTCTAAAAAGCAAAAAGGAAGGAAACTTATATATTTTATTTAACTCTGTATGTTTTTTAAAGTGAGCATTAAATTTGTAATGAGTATATAGAACTATCGTGATCATTTGAACTTCTTTTTCTCACACTTCCTTCCCGGAACCCAGTGTGTATTTTATACTTCCAGTATGCTTCAGGTGGACCAACCACTCAATAGTAATCAGTCACCAGCCACATGTGGCTGTGGTTGCCCTTTGGGACAGTGAGTGGAGGAGAGGGTCTGAGGGCTACTCTGATAGAAGTCTGGATCATTGGGGTCACTCAAGGGTTATGGAGATAAGAGTACATGTGGGTGCCACACAGTCATCAGTGGGACAGAGTATTTGAAGCATACAACCAGCTGTGCCCACCCAGCTGAGCCCCTGTGTGGCTGACACAGGCATTAGCATTCTAAACTTTTAACCTTCCTGCTTCTGGAATCTGACCCCTGCATGGCATGGCTCCCCTCCTCTGGGTTTTGCTGGTTCTCTACTTTTTATCCCCAGAAGAAAAGGGCTCCCAAATGCCCTTCAACACTGGCCGCAATCAGAGCCTGGCCAGAGTTTCTTCTTCTCATAGCTGTGCCAGGCATACTGCAACCCTTTGCCACTTGCCTAACCTCTTAGACCTCAGTCTCCTCACGTGTAAGATGAGGCACTTGAACCCTGACACCCACTGGACCTGATTCAAGTCATCCTGGTGCCTGGGAGCCAGGGGATGGAGCTGTCTTTTCTTTGCTCCTCTAACCTCTTGCCTAAAGCCCCAATAGAGAGTTTGTGACTCAGAGAATGGAGAAAGGAGTGAGCATGCTCTCCACAAGGAGTCCACCCTGTGTAACGGACTCCTCTGCTCCTAGCTCAGCTTGGCCCTGGTCAGAGTCGGCTAAACGCATGGATAGAGAGGGCCTTTTCTATTCGGGGATGGACAAGCTCATCCTTCTACCTCCTGGGTCCAAGCCTACTGCCTGATAGCACAGCTGCCCTGCTGTGGCTGTGACTGTGTCTGGAGAGGCCGGCCCAAGGGAGCATCCCTGCAGCCTTGCTCTGTGTTCTCCTGCAGACACGCACTGCCCCTCTTCACCTCACTCCTCAACACCGTGTGTGCCTATGACCCTGTGGGCTATGGGATCCCCTACAACCACCTGCTCTTCTCGGACTACCGGGAGCCCCTGGTGGAGGAGGCTGCTCAGGTGCTTATTGTCACCTTGGACCATGACAGTGCCACCAGCACCAGTCCCACCGTGGACGGCACCACCACAGGCACCGCCATGGATGACGCTGATGTAAGGACCAGAGGGAGAGAGGGTTGGGGGCAGATGACATCTCCTTTAACACAGGCCCTGGGCAAGAGTCACACCATGGGAGGCACCAGAGGCTGGGGGTGTCCAACTTTGGAAAGCTCACTGCTGCTACCCAGGCAGACCTGAGTGAGGCATCTGCTTATCATATCTCCTCTCCTTGGCAGCCTCCGGGGCCTGAGAACCTGTTTGTGAACTACCTGTCCCGCATTCACCGTGAGGAGGTGAGTTAGGCATGTGTGTGTGTGTGTGTATGTGTGTGTGTGTGTGTGTATTCTAACTGCCCACCTTCTGCGTGGCTGTGTCCGTGTGGGACTAGAGAAGTCCTGCCCTCCTGCATGAAGGAGCATAGCCATCCTAAGTAAAATAGTGATGGTGATTCTTGGGGGATTTCAATGCATTGAAAGGATTGGGGGGAGCTGGGGCTGTGTGGCTCAGTAGGCAGAGCACTTGCCTAATGCACACAAAACCCTCATCAATCTGTCAGCATCACCCGATCAAGATAGATTCGGTGGTCTATGACTGAAAAGCCAGCCTCTGAGAAGTGGAGGCAGGAGGTTTAGAAGTTTAGGGTTGTTCTTGGCTAGCCTAGACTACAGGAGACCCCCGTCTTTAAACTTAAAAAAATAAAAGAAGGAAAGTGAAGAACTGACTCATTAGTCTCAGCTGGGTCAGGGTAACAAGAGGGCTTCCTAAAGGAGGAGGTTTGCTGAGATGCTGGGGCTCAGGGGTGGGAGGAACTGCAGCCTTAATGTCCAGGCAGACTCAAGTGGAGGGGAGGTGCCCGGGACTGTGGCTGAGCGTGTCCTCGCCCCATGAAGATCAAACCTGAGCGCAGCCCGGCTTGTGGTGTGTGCTCAGTAGCTGACAGCTCTATGAGAACTGGGGAGGACTTCTGTGTGGTGGGGGGATGCAGGGAGAGAAGGACAGCAGTTACCAACAAGGAATTTAGATGATCAGGAAACCTAGCTAATGGGTTCATCTGAGGGTTTCCAGGAGCTGCAGCTTTGCATAGGGGATCTTCTGACCTGCTGGAGAGGGGTCCAGAAGCTGAACTTTGCAGGGTACTAGCAGTAATGTCCAAACCCAGGTCCTCTGGGCTCTGGAGATTGACAAGGCTGTGGGAGAATGAGGAGACATTTGTAGGGGTCTTGCTGGAGGGAGCTGGATTGGAAGGGCCTCTGCTTTGCTCTCTCAGGACTTCCAGTTCATCCTCAAGGGGATAGCTCGGCTGCTGTCTAATCCCCTGCTCCAGACCTACCTTCCCAATTCCACAAAGAAAATCCAGTTCCACCAGGAGTTGCTCGTTCTCTTCTGGAAACTCTGTGACTTCAACAAGGTGAGCAGACTCCAGGGCCCAGCCTGACAGCAACAGTTGTAAGGGAACCTTGCTGATGGATTAGTGGAGTCCAGAGTCTGAGGATGGGATAGCCTCTGGGCCTCCCCAGCCTAGGTGGGAGAAGGTGGGGCAGAGATAGTTCTCTTACTGGTGCAGCCTACCTGTCCCCTCTCTCCTTCCCAGAAATTCCTCTTCTTTGTACTGAAGAGCAGTGACGTGTTGGATATCCTGGTTCCTATCCTCTATTTTCTCAACGACGCCCGGGCAGATCAATGTACGACCATAGTGAGCCTGGGACGCTGCGGTAGATAGGGGGTCTTGATTTCGGGTGGGGTCCAGTCAGTCTGTCCTACCTCCCAGAAGCTCAAGCCTGGTGTCCTAACCTCCTACAAGGGCTTCCCTTGAACCCCTAACCTCCCACACGGGGTTTCCTTAATGCCCTGAAGATGAGTCCTTGTTCCTCCTCTCCCCCTTCCCCTTCCTGCTCTGTGTGACGCTTCCTGTGTTGTATACCCCCAGCTCGGGTGGGCCTGATGCACATCGGGGTCTTCATCCTGCTGCTTCTCAGTGGGGAGAGGAACTTTGGGGTACGGCTGAACAAGCCCTACTCAGTGCGCGTGCCCATGGACATCCCGGTCTTCACAGGCACACATGCAGATCTGCTCATTGTGGTAAGGGTGTGTGTGTGGGCATTCCTGGGGTTTTGGGGTGACATTCTCTTATTGCCTGGTCTGGAGGCGGTGAGTAACTCATGCTGTCCCTGTCTCTCCCTGCACAGGTATTCCACAAAATCATCACCAGCGGTCATCAGCGGTTGCAACCCCTCTTCGATTGCCTGCTCACCATTGTGGTCAATGGTAGGGGCCCAGAGCCTAACTTCCCCATGATCACCAGCAGGTGGCGCTAGGCCACAGCCCACCAGCCACTAGTCCGTGGACTTCTATGTATTACAGCTAAGCTTTCTTGTACTGTATAAGGGACAACAGGAACAGAGCGCCTATGAAGTATGGCTTTCACATATATATATATACGACATGCACACAATAATACATACAACTTCTAAAGGGTTTTAGAACATACCTTATCCAATCCGCTAAATTCAAAATATTAAATTAGATATGGATAGAATATAAAAGTCATTGAGGTAGCTTATGCTCTGTCTGTTTTATACCCAGTCTTCAAATCGTGTGTGTGTTCTGTCCCTGCAGGACATCTCAGTTGAGACTGGCTGTATTGCAGACATTTGATGGCCACATGTGACTGCTGGCTGTTTATTGGGTGGTAAAGGCTGTCCTAGTTATAGTGTAGGAATATCGAGAACATTGTAAAGGGCTACAGGCTGCTTACTCTCTGGGAAAGGAGCCAGGAAGGTTCAGGTTGGCTAGGGTTGGGAACCCAACAAGGTGGGTAGCAGTAGGCTGGAGCAGAATGACTTTTGTGGATGTCTTTAGGCCAGTTGGTTCATTAACCGATCTAGTTTACATTCCTGTTGAGGTAACAGAGACCCTTACATTTATTTGACTTAGAATTCCCATCATTGAGCAGGGAGGGGAAGTCAAAGCGGGAAGCAGCTAGTCACATGACACCCATAGCCAGGAACAGTGAAATGAACAATCATTGCTTGCCGGCTAGCTGCATACGCTCAGCTAGCTTCCTTTACTCCTAACTGCTCAGGGCCCAGCTTAGGGAATGGTGCCGCCCACACACATAGTGGACCTCCCCACCTCAATTACCAACCTAGATAATTCCTCACTGAGCTCTCTTCCCAGGTGATTGTGAGTTGTGTCAGGTTGACAGTACAAACTAACAACATACTGACCACGGTGTGATTGAACTTCTGGGTGTCTGGGGTAGTGCAGGGGACCTAGGGGCTCTCACTGGGTTGTGGGCTCTGTATGTTGATTCTATTTTACAAGTCCTCACTGAGTCCCTGACAAACAAGGCCAGTTTTGAGAATGCCTCTGTAAACGAGATAGTCCCTGTTACCATCCTCTGGGACCTTCCTCTGAGCCAGGGAGAGAGGTAGATGGCAAGGACACACACGGGTCAAGCCGTAGTTCCCTCTCTGACTCCCACTTACAAAGCTGCGCTGAGGAATACATATCTTGTGACAGCATCTTGTCACTCTTAAAAGGTGTCACATCCCAAGTTAGCATCCCTGTTCTGTCATTTTATTGCTGGGGAATTTGGACTCAGTTTATAACCTTCTCTATAACCTGTTTCTTTATCTACACTCCTGTCTCTGTCCTTCCTCCCTCTGGGTTGGGGAGATGCCTGGGAGGGATGAGCTGAGTGTGCCTCTGAGGTTGTGGGGTGGTGGGAACACTGGAGCCTCAAAGTCTCTGGGAGGCTCGCAGGGGTCAGGGGGGATCAGTTGAGGTGAGCCAGTCAGCCCTGGCCTGGCATTTGCAGGGCTGTCCCAGAACAAGCTGCCTCCTCCCTTACAGTGTCTCCCTACCTCAAGAGCCTGTCCATGGTGACTGCCAACAAGCTCCTGCACCTGCTGGAGGCCTTCTCTACCACCTGGTTCCTCTTCTCAGCATCCCAGAACCACCACCTGGTCTTCTTCCTTCTGGAGGTCTTCAACAACATTATCCAGTACCAGTTTGATGGTGAGGCGCTGGCCTGAGCCCCTGTGTAAGGAAGTCCCAGCCCAGGAATCCTGCCTGTGTACTTACTGAACACCTGTAGTGTATCTGAGTATAGGGACATGCAGTGTCAATCAAGGTGTGCCTTGTACCTCCCGTAGCTCACGGCTGGGCATGGAGTCACAAGCAGGGGGCGGGGCTTTAGGCAGACAACTTGACCCACTGAACAAAAGAGTTCATTTAGAATTGGTTGACTGCCGGGCGGTGGTGGCGCACGCCTTTAATCCCAGCACTTGGGAGGCAGAGGCAGGCGGATTTCTGAGTTCGAGGCCAGCCTGGTCTACAGAGTGAGTTCCAGGACAGCCAGGGCTATACAGAGAAACCCTGTCTCAGAAAACCAATTGGTTGACTGGAAAACTCAGAGTGGGAGGAGTCCTGCTGGCTGTCATGCAGGTACCTTACCAGTATCACAGGTGCAGATCTAGGCTCCCCAAGCATGTGCTCTTCGGCCATGAGCATGTTAGTCTCTAAGCCTTGGTCCCCTCATCCGTGAGATGCGCATAATGAGGGTGCTGTAAGTCCCTCTTGCAGGGCACACGCCTTTAATCGCAGCTCTCGGAAGGCAGAGGGAGTTGGATCTCTGAGTTGGAGGCCAGTGTAAGTGCAGGGATAGCCAGGGCTACGCAGAGAACCCCCGCCTCTCAAAAAAAAAAAAAAAGCCCTCTCAGAGGATATTGGAAGGCTTAATAACTCACAAAAGATCACCTGGCACAGCAAATATTAGCAATTATTGTTACTATTTCCAAAATAAGTACAATTTAGATGTATATTTGAGCGATGAATGAATGTACGGTAGGCAGTAAAGCATTGCTTGGGAAGGGACGTGTGCAAAGGCCCTGGGGTGGATGTTAAGCTAAAGGCACTATGGTGTGATACAGGACTAGACAGGTAGATGGGGCCACTGAGAGCTCTAGAAAGCTTCCCATCTTCCCCTGACAGCTGTGGGAACTTGGAGATAGATGACGGTGAACAGATGCATACAGCAGTGTCCTCCTGAACGTCCCTGTAACTCACTGAGAGGGATATGTACTTACTGTTGGCCTGGTGTAGGGCTCAGGCTACCCCACCATGCCAGATAATACCTGAGTAGTGCTTGACTGTGAGGGGATTTCCAGACACCGTAACAAGGGCACTGAGGAGCTCACGGCCGAGCTGTTTCCCCACAGCCTAACATCTGTGTATCTCCATCACCTAGTATCTAGGCTTTCCCACAGCCTAACTTCTTGGCATCCTTCAGAGGCTAACATCAGGTATCCTCACTACGTGACTTCTCGGAATCTCCAACAGCCTAACCGTCCACTATTACCACTGACATGCATACATGCACATGTTGTGTCTGCTCCACTCCCTCTCTGGGTACCCCATCCAGTCCTTATCCCCAGGGAAGACGTCTTCCAGTCTCACAAACTGCCTGGAAGCCAGCCCAGATGTGGAGTGGGAAGGAAAGCTCTCTGAGGACAGACATATTCCTCCCACAGGCAATTCCAACCTGGTCTATGCCATCATCCGTAAACGTGGAGTCTTCCACCAGCTGGCCAACCTGCCCACCGACCCACCCTCCATCCACAAGGCACTGCAGCGGAGGCGGAAGACGCCAGAGCCTCTGTCCCGTGTTGGCTCCCAGGAGGGTACTTCCATGGAGGGATCCCGCCCTGCCGCTCCTGCAGAGCCAGGCACCCTGAAGACTAGCCTGGTGGCCACTCCAGGTCTGGATGCTGTCAGGCTAGGAGAGTGTGGGGTTTGGCTGGGGGTGCACGGTGAGGGTGTGATCTCTGCAGTGTCATTCCTGTCTAGCAAGCCGAGGAAAAGGAATTCAGCTGCATGTGGGGGGTGGAAGTACTGGGTGGGCCTAGGTCACTTGATGGGGGTTAGAGGAGGGACATGGGCAGGGCTCAGAACTTAAAGTGACTGTAGAAGGGAAGGCAAACACAGTACCTCAGCTGGGAATGGGAAGCACATAGCCTCCTGGGCCAGAAGGGGTACTATGGCATATCCCTCTCTTCCTCCTGTGTCCCACCCAGGCATCGACAAACTGACAGAGAAGTCCCAGGTATCAGAGGATGGTACCTTGAAGTCTCTAGAGCCCGAATCCCAGCAAAGCTCAGCAGAAGGCAGCCTGTCTGAGGGGGTAGGTACTAGGGACACCTGAATGTCACTCTGTTTTCTTTCTCTCTGATTCCTGAAGTGTGGGAGTGGGCAGGGCTGGGGCACTCTGAGCTTGCTGTGTTTAGAACGAGGGATTTGGAGTTGGCATGGCTGGACCGGAGGGAGAGGGGGCATTCACAGACTTCTCCCTTTTTGTTTATCAGTTATAGCAAAGCCCTGTGACCTTCGGGTTTCTCATCCGTTAGCCTTATCTGAGTCTGGCCTTTACCCTGCCTTCTCTGTCAGTCCCTGGCCCTAAACCTGTCACTGGACTGGGCTGGGCTAGGCTGCCCCTTGGGCCCAGGGCAAAGGGTATAGGTCTGGACCAACCATCTTGTGCAGCAACCCTCCCTCCCCCAGTCCTGTAGTGGGGCCCCAGGAGACATGTTGTCCTATGGCTGCACCTTGTATCCATTTGTATCTATCCCTTCCCTGGTCACTTCCATTTCTTTCTGGGAACCAGGAGCCCAGCCAAACATGGAGAGAACAGAGGCGATTGTCCAATGCGTCAGCCAGTGGCCAGTGGAGCCCTACATCAGACTGGGTGAGGGACACAGCTGGAGGAGGGTCTGGGAGCTGGGATTTGGGCAGACAGCACTGAGCAGGGGTGGTCAGAGCTCCAGCTTGGGGAAAGCCTAGGGTAAGAAAACCAAAGACTGGGGCTGGAGAGATGGCTCAGTGGTTAAGAGCACTGGCTGCTCTTATAGAGGTCCTGAGTTCATTTCCCAGCAACCACATGGTGGCTCACAACCGTCTGTAATGGGATCCGATGCCCTCTTCTGGTGTGTCTGAAGACAGCTACAGTGTACTCATATACATGAAGTAAATAAAAAAGAAAACAAAAGACTTTAGAGACCAGGCTGAGGGAGAGTCCTTCCAGGTGCATTACCTTGCCTCCTGCACGCCCTTTCAGTAGATGTCCATATAACTGATTCCTTTGTCAATCGCCCTTGCTGAGTTCCTCCCCAAATCCCTTCCACTCCCTGTGTGTTTCCTGTGAGCCCCACTGATTGCTCTGGATGGCACAATAAACACGCTTATAATCGTGCCATCCAGCCATTGTGAGGATTAAAGGAGAAGGTCTTCCGGAAGGCACGAGGCCCAGCAGCTGGCCCGTGGTAGTGCTCAGTGTGGCCTGGCCCTTCCCATAAGCAACAGTTCCCCTTCACAGGCCCTGCTTGGTGCAGGCCATACTGTGCCTAGTGGGAGGGTGGTCAGAGGGAGGGGGGTCGGTCAAGGACAAGCCTGTCCCATAACTCTGGTTGTGGCCCTCACAGATCTTGTCCTGGAAGTCAAAGCTGCCGCTGCAGACCATCATGCGCCTGCTGCAGGTCCTGGTTCCCCAGGTAGAGAAGATCTGCATTGACAAGTGAGTCTGGAAGCTGGGCGGGCAGGTGGCCGTGGAGAGGGGGTCAGCCCAGGCTAGGGGTGGGTGTGTTGTGGAGAACATGTGTACTTGCTGGAGGCCCCACCTCTTTCTCCAGGGGTCTGACGGATGAGTCTGAGATCTTGAGGTTCCTGCAGCATGGTACCTTAGTGGGACTTCTGCCTGTACCCCACCCCATCCTTATCCGAAAGTACCAGGCGAACTCAGGGACTGCCATGTGGTTCCGTACCTACATGTGGGGCGTTATCTATTTGAGGTGGGTCCTGTGAGGGGTGGGGAAGTTACATCCTGGGGGTAGATCTGGATATCTACCTGAGGACTTCCCATGAGAGCCTGAGCTCTGGATTCCTCAAAACACAGTGGGACTAATGTCCAATCCATCAGACGGAGGGCGGGCGCTCATTACCCAGAGTAAGGGTATCAGGTTGGGTGGAGGCCTTGTAAGCTGCCTGGCTCTTTCTTGGGGGGAGGTCTACAAGGTACCCCCTGCAAGAAGGTAACAGTGCTCTCTCTCTGTAGGAATGTGGACCCGCCCATCTGGTATGACACCGACGTGAAGCTGTTTGAGATCCAGCGGGTGTGAGGATGGAGACCCGAGGGAACAGGGCCAGGAGAGCTGGTTCTAGTCCCCAGTGCTCCCCAACTCATTGTTCTGAGCTTAAAGGTCCATTATCAGGGTGTGGGGCACACAGAGTGGCTGGTCCCGGATGGCAGGTCTCAGGTGCCCATTGTGGCTGGAGACAACAGAGAGTTAAAAAAAAAAAGTGCCCCTCTGTCCTCCAAGCTGTTCTCCTAGGAGCCTCTTGTCTCCAGAGATACAACCCCATCAGAACCCCTGCCCACTCTGGCTCCTCCTTCAAGACCTGCCCTTGTGCTGCCTGCCCCCAGAAGTTGCCAGGTCACTGTGCCCTAAGAGATTGTCTCAAAAAGGAGCCATGTGGTGCCCCATGGGGCACTTGGTCACAGTGAAGGGAGTCCTGGCCACCTAGTCTGAGACTACTTACTGTTCCAGGCCTTCTCCTTTGCCAGTGCTCTGGGGGAAAGAGTAGCTGCTGGCCAAGGCAGCTGGCAACTTGTGAAGTAGGACTGTGGAGTGTGCTCTAGGGGCTTGGAGTAGGGTATCGAGGGTGCTCTGTTACTGTCCCGGGGTCGGGGGAATTTGCCTGACTGGTGGAACCTGAAGGATGTCAGTGTCCCTGCCTTCTCTGTGGCCTGGGTGGTGGGAGTTACATAGTCTATGAGCCCCAACTCCGGTCTCCGGGTCTCCCATGCCTCCCCTCTGTCAGTACAATCTCTGCTCTGTACAATCGACACTTTACACAATAAAATGTCCCTCCTTGTGCTGTTGTGTCTCTGTGCCTGGAGTTGGGGGAGGTGCCTGGCTAGGGCTTTTATCTTCAGGGTAGCTGGAGACTCTATATCCCAGAGGTCATCTCTGGAGGGCTCTTGCCCCATGACTGAGCCATCACCTGCCATTTTGGCGATGTGCGTGTGTGTGTGTGTGTGTGTGTGTGTGTGTGTGTATGTGTATGTGCACAACTGCAGGACTGTGCTCTGTCCCCCAGGCTTTGGCTGCCATTACCTAGAGAAAAGCCCACACAGGAGAGGCCAAAAGCCTAAGTCCTTTGCACGGCCTCAGGTAGCCAGGACCAGTGTTGAAGAGGCCTGGGTCATCACCCCTGGAGTTGATAGTGTGTGATTTCATGGGAGCAGGGGAATTCTGGGAAGGGCAGAGGCTTGGCTGCAGGGCCAGGACCACACTCATTGGGCCTCACCCTGGACATATTTGTTCTGGGCTCAGAGAGGGATGAAGTGCTGGTGTTGCCTGCTCGCTCACCTTCCTGCCTCACCCAGGGACTCAGAGGACCAAGCAGGCCTGGGCACTGGGCAGGCAGAGGCCACAGTGACCACCCATAGCGAGCCAGTTGCAGAAATGCCCCTGAGACTCTGTTCCAAGAGACAGTACTGGTGAAGGGTGGAGGTCAGGGTTATACAAGCCCAGACCCATCTCTTCCTGCTTGTCCATAAGTGAGACAGAGATTATCTGGGGTAGACCACTCCTGGCTGAGGAACTCTCTTGCTTGAGAGGACTCTCCTCTCACCACACCTGCAGTGGCAGTTCTGTCCCCAGGAACAAATGCCACAAAAGCCAAATGAATCGATCAAACAAACAGGGTTTATGGAAGCAGGAAAGAGCTGTTGGGCCCTGCCTGGTAGCTAATGAATGAGGTCATTAGGAGACGGGGCGTGTGGGGAGAGGATCAGGGCTGCCTGCCAAGCTTGGGGTGCTGGGTTCTGAGCTCCCAGTTGGAGTTCTGAGCTTCTAGGATATCCCACAGAAGGATTCAGCCTCTGCCCGCCCCCAGACCCCACAATTTCATCCTGACCCTCACAGCCTTTGGCAGTCACCTGGGGCACATTCTTGACTACACGAACTGTTTCCAAGCCCCATCCTTGGTTTTGAGCATCAGTCGGTGTCCTCTCCTCTCAGTCAGGTTGAGGAGGGGGTCACTTTGTTAACCCCGGGCAGGTTTCATGTGATGTGTCTTGCGCAGATACTCCATGTTTCTTTTTCTGCCTTGGCACTTTTGGGGTTCTGCTGTGGCTGGGTTCCTTGGGCACTCAGGCCCCCAGGTAGACCTCCACCAGTCCCCCGACAGAGTGCATGCGGTAGAAGACTCCCAGAGGCAGGCCGAAGTTAACAATGGTGAACCAGGTCCTGTAGCCGTAAAACTCCTTTTCCAGGCCGTTTTCAAACTCTGGGTGTATGCCAAAGGCAGGCATCATCCACAGCTGGGGAGAGATGGGAGGGGAGGATGCTGCTGGGTGAGAGACAGGGGCTCCCAAATCTTAAGATACTCAGCTCGGGGGGGGGGGGGCTGACCTAGAACCAGCAATTCCTGAAAGAGTCTTTCTCAGTCCCTGACGCAGAGGGCCTTGGCCACCTTGGCTTACCCGAGGCCAGGCTGAGCCCCAGAGGGCTACCTCTCTACATGGTACATTGCAGAACCTCCCACTTAGCAATCTATGCTGCCAAGCTGGACTGTTTGTGTCCTAGGCCCTGAGCTAAGGCTTTACTATTCCCGCTAGTTACAGCCATCTGCGTCATCTCCTGCCCACCTGTGAGGAGTCTACCCATTTCCCAAAGCCCGGATCAACCTCATCAACCTCTCTGAAAACCTGCCCTGGCTCTTGGGACCCATACTTCCGGCTCTGAACTCTTAGGACAGCTTAAAGCCAATTTATCACTTCTCTGCATGGACCAGCTGTTTCACATCTGGAATGTGTTTTCAGTGCTTTTAGAGGGTTGGAGCTTAAACAACCCGAGTCGTCCTGTGGCTGCCACTTACAGGCTGTGAGAGCAGGGACTGATCAGAAGCATAAGCTTCAATCTGTCAAGGGGGGATGGGCAGTAACACTGCCTGTCTTTTGGGGATATGGCAGTGATGAAAGGGTCAGGGGTCCGTGATTTAGCAGCCACCAGAAGCTAAGAGATCAATGCAACCTCTTCTACTAGGGATTAATAGAAAACAAGTAGTTCTGGGCTGCCTCTTTGGCCAAATCCAATGGATGAGGGGTTCAGTGGCCATTTTCTAACTAGCCCCCTGTCATTTCCCCCATCTAGTCTGCAAGTCAGAATCTCGCACTTTTGTAAAGGGCACTTTGCTATGTGCAGAGCAGATTAATTCGTGCCAGGCAGCTTCCAGGGAGCTGCCGGAGATACTCCTGGCTTTCAAGAAACATAAAGGTAATTGGAAAGAGAAAGAGACTTCCTAAATCAGGGGCTCTGTAGCCACAGACTACGTCCACAGACCACGTCCACACATCATGGCCGGGCCACGCCCCTACACACCACGCCCACCCCCACGCCCCACGGCCTTCTGCCCAGACACTCACTGTAATGTTGCAGAGAATGAGGAAGAGAGAGATCTCCTTGAGCATCCTGCGTTTCCAGTTGAGGTGGCTGAAGGAATAGATATAGGCCCTTGAGGCTCTCCGTAGGTCCTGACCCAGGTCCCGCAGGGAACCTCTGCGGGGTAACTCAATATCCTGCTTCTCCATCACACTCGAGACCACAGGCTCCCAGAGGGGGCGGCGGTGCAGGCCCTCGATGATGAAGAGATTCTGTGTGATGTGCTGCAGGATAAGCAGCAGTGAGTAGGCCAGGATGAGCTGGTTGAGTAGCTCATGTGGCTGCGTGGCCACAATAGCCACGATGGAGAAGTAGGCGATGCCCATCTGGCCCAGGGCAGCGCCCATCAGCAGCACCACATCCAGGCTGCGTGTGGGGTTTTTGAGTGTGTCCAGTTCGCGCTCCTCCAGCCCATGGATGGCTGTGCCTGCCAGGCACGCCAGGCTCATGGTGGGCAGCACAGCCGCATAGAATGCGTAGTAGAGGGTGAAGTACTGGCGGGCTATGTTGGGGCCACTCGCTTCGATCTGGAAGAGCACAAAGACGCACACGCCGGCCACCAGTGCCAAAAGGCCCAGCAGTGGCCCAAAGATGGCCCCGTGCAAGCGAAAGGGTGGTCTGTTGGGATGGGCACACGAGTGGGCTGCCAGGCTGCGGCCCACGTTCTTCCACATGACAAAGAGCACAGCACAGCAGATGAGGCAGTACTCAGTGCTGAAGGGGTAGAGCATCAGGTAGCCCTTCCGGAAGACCTCGCACACTGTGGCGTTGAGGCACATGCAAGTGTTGGTCCCATTACCTGAGAGGAGATAGGGCAGGAAGAGACAGCTTCTCAGGCAGGTCTTCACGGAAGAACTTAGTGGCCCCAATCCCTCTCCTGGAGCATACTGGATTTGGACAGGACCCAGCCAGATGTGGAAACATCTGAGGCCGGAACGTAGAGATTGGGAATTAAGTGATTACTGTTTTACAAAGGGATCATTTAAAGACTCTAGGTGTTAAACTTCTGTAAAGCATTTCAGCCATGCTGTCTCTGAGGCCAAGCATTGTCTCCACATATTGTTTGGCTGGCAAAGTAAACCCAACATTTGCAATAAGAAACCAGCCTGCCACACCTGAATGCAGCGACCAACCCCAGTAGCCTATACTAGGGTAATCAGAAGGCAGCCCCTCTGGACGAGTACATGGAGTCAGTGGGTGTCAGAATGCTTGAGCCGAATCCAAGTCACAGTCTGGGCTCTACATCCAGCTTTAGGAAAAGCAGAGGAGAGGGAAGGAGCTTAGTGCCACCACTGGGAAGCAAACGAAGAACCTTAAGGTCGTTGTGGTGGTTTAAATAGGTATGGCGCCCATAGAGTCATGTGTTCGAATGCTTTGCCATAGGGAGTGGCTCTGTTACATTGTAGCCTTGTTGGAGGAAGTCTGTAACTTGGGGATGGGCTTTGAGTCTTCTATGCTCAAGCTACACCTAGTGTGATACACAGTCCCCTTCTTCTGCGTTTGGATCAAGATACAGAACTCTCAGCTCCTTCTCCACCACCATGTCTGCCTGTGTGCTGCCGTGCTGATAATGAACTGAACCTCTGACTGTAAGCCAGCCCTGATGAAATGTTTTCCTTTATAAGAGTTGCCTTGGTCATGGTGTCTCTTCACAGCAATAGAAACTAGGGAGCTGGAGAGATGGCTCAGTGGTTAAGAGCAGTGCCTGCTCTTGTAGAGGTCTTGAGTTCAATTCCCATCATCCACTTGATGGCTCATAGCCATCTATAACTGTAGTCTCATGGGATCCAATGCCCTCTTCTAGTGTGCAAATGTACATCATATACATAAATAAATAATTTTTTAAAAGTAATATAAAAAAGGAACAGGGGACTGTGATCATGATGTTAAGTGAATAAAAAAATTAAAATATAAAGGAAACCCTAATTAAGACAGCTATTATAGAAGAAGGAGAAGGAGGAGGAGGAAGAGGAGGGGAGGAGGAGGAGGAGAAGGAGGAGGAGGAGAAGAAAAAAAGAAGAAGGAGAAGGAGAAAAAGAAGGAGAAAAACCTTAGAAGGAGGAGGCTGGAGAAATGGCTCAGTGGTTTCCCTACAGAGGACCCAGGTTCAGTTCCCAGCACCCACATCAGATGCTCACAACCACCTGTAACTCCAGTTCTAAGGGATCTGATGCCCTTCTGCCTCATAAGACACCCACACATATGTGCACAGACCCCTTCACACACATAGCCACCCACAAAGAATAAAATAAGTTACTAAACAAATTAGAATCTTAACCAAAATGCCAGTCATGACGGTACACATCTGCAATCTTGAGATACCAGAGCAGAAGGGTCTCAAGTTCAAGGTCAGCCTGGGCTGCATAGGTCAGCCTGGGCTGCATAGGTCAGCCTGGGCTGCACAGTTAAACTCTATCTCAGAAGTCCCAG